ACTGGACTGTAGCCTTGGTGGTGATCCTTTTCGCTTTGGTGTCACACAAAGGTGGAATAGCAGTGGCCGTCCCATGCCCTTTTGTTCCAAGTGTGCATGTGCGGAGGATGCCTGGTTTGGAATCCCCTGAAAGCACGCAAACCATCTCTTCTGGGCCCAGGGCGGAAACGGCTGCATTCCACACCTGGCTCAGACACCATCAAATACAGCTAGACCTTCCAGCACCAAATCAGCTCCTGTGAAACAGCTTTGCTATAGTGAGAGAAATACATGCTGCAGCCTCCCTAACAGCAAGGGTCTCTGTGGCTTAGGGATCAGCAAGTGGATCCACAAAGACATGGCTGACACGGGCCTATCCAGACTAAGATCCCGACACCCAGCCATAAGATCTGCACAAATCCTGCAATTACAAAATTTCAATTTAGGGAATTAATGGTTGCAAACATGGACACGATCAGTTCCACCCAATATCCGTAACCTGATAAAACACCAATGAGAGGCCCACAGGATTTGACTTGACATGTAAAGCATGGAGGATGGCTAATAGAATACAAGAACCATACACATTGCAAGAACTCTTGGGCACTCCATGAAATTGCTGAGCGGTCGGGTTAGAACGGATAAAAGGAAGTACTTCTTCACCCAAAGAGTGAATTCACACATGGAATTCACTGCCACAGGAGGTGGCGGCGGCTACAAGCATGGATGGCTTCAAGAGGGAATTAGATAAGCATATGGAGCAGAGGTCCATCAGTGGCTATGAGCCACAAGGTATAGATAGGAACTCTCAGGCTGGGGCAAGTAATGCTCTGTCTCCTTGGTGCTTGGGGGGGGGCAACAGTGGGAGGGCTTCTGGAGTTCTGGCCCCACTGGTGGACCTCCTGATGGTACCTGGTATTTTTGGCCACTGTGTGACAGAGTGTTGGACTGGATGGGCCACTGGCCTGATCCAAAATTGACTTCTCTTATGTTCTTATGTGAAACAGGCTTTGGCAGCTGTGCAGACCTGTTTCTTTAAATGGGGCAAAATACCAGGACCCAATGTGACTGTGGTGCAGCCCGCCAAACTATTTTCCATCTGTCAGAGGAATGTGAGCGTCGGGCTTTCCAGGGATATGTGATGGAGCTCTTCGAACTCTCCCCAGCTGCAACTGAGTAGACTGAATCTAGATATTAGTATTCAGGGGGATTGCTCAATCAGTCTGCATACTCATTGTATCAACTTGGTTATGTATTTTATATTATTATATGCCTCCTGCGTGTAACACTGCCATACGATAAATAAAAAAACTAAATAGGGGGAAATGCTTTCCCCCAGTTAAGGGGAAAATACTTTTCAAACAAATTACAAAGATGATCTGACTCCAATGGTAACAAGAGAAAGAAACTTTACTTCCAAAAATAGAAACATATCTTAGATGACATATTCATGTGGGTATATCTAACTTATTGTGAACAGATTAACTTCAAAAAGGTTCACTTGCTACAGCTCCAAGCCCAGGTAAGAGAGAGAAAAAGAGAGATCCTAGATAAGGAGAAAACCAGAAGGCAATCAATGGCCAAAGAGGCTCATCCATGAAAGGGTGGGAACAACTGCCAAGGGCCCCTGAGTGGAAGAAGGCAATCAATGGCCCTTGCCTGCAGACTTACAATATTCAACAGGTGGCCAGCCCAGCCCCACCCACAAGCTACGGCACAGAAAACCTGAGGGCTGCCATGCAATACCTCACTTGCACTGCACAATATCAGATGCAGGCGCAGGCCAATCAGAAGCCATTACAGTGCTTGGCCTGCTGCCCTCACTAAGCCTCTGAGCAAACTGGCATCCTCTTGAAAACCAGTAGCATGATGGCATGCTGAGAAGAAAACATTATACCGTTTAATGCTGATTGTTTGATTGAATTCTGCCCTCATGTCCAGGTTGTGCCTGCAGCCGGCGCCCCCTGCTCCCTCCCTTAAGCTCAGCCGCCTCTCCCTCCCTGCTCCTTGTACTTGAACCTTCCCCCCCCCCATCTCCCTAACTCTACAAATCTACAGTTTGGTGTCGTGGTTAAGTGTGCGGACTCTAATCTGGGAGGACCGGGTTTGATTCCCCACTCCTCCACTTGCACCTGGCTGGATGACCTTGGCTCAGTCACAAGCTCTGGCACAGCTGTCCTTGAAAAAGAGCAGTTCCTGTCAGAGCTCTCTCAGCCCCACCCACCTCACAGGGTGTCTGTTGTGGGGAGGGGAAGGGAAAGGAGTTTGTAAGCCGCTCTGAGACACCTTTGGGCAGTGAAGGGCCATGGGGTAGAAATCCAATCTCTTCTTCTTCTTCTTTTACCTCACAGGGTGTCTGTTGTGGGGAGGGGAAGGGAAAGGAGTTTGTGAGCCGCTCTGAGACTCCAAGTGAAGGGCGGGGTATAAATCCAATCTCTTCTTCTTCTTCTTCCTCAACACCCACCTTCCCTGCTGTGTAACCTCTCAGCCAACTGAAAACGAAGCCTGTGCAACCGAGCACCACCAGGCTCTCTCCCTGGTTAAGGGGCCCCGCGGCTGGAGACTGTAAGTTCCTTGGGGCAGGCACCCATCTTTAGCCCTCTGCGCCTCCGCAAAGCATCCACCCGGCAGTCTTTCCCCTCCCAAATCTGAGACCACCAAGCCCTCTTTGGGGTAGGTGGGGGCCTCCTTCCCCTTTGGAAAGACCCTGGAGGAGGCCTGCCGCCCCCGAGGGGGCCCGGCCGGTGAGCTCCGCGCGGCTGCCTGCGGGACACTGGCCGTGCCGGGAGGAGGTCTGGCTCGGACCCGGGCCGGGGCAACCGTAAGGGGCCGTGGTCCATGCGGGTGGCGTCCAGGGCAGGGAGCTCCATGGCCGCTTGGCTCCCGGGCTCTCGCAGGGCCCCTGCTCCGGCACCGCCGAGGAGCGCG